TATTTTATCTTCCAGGTCACTTATCTGTTCTTCTGCCTCAGTTATTCTGCTATTGATCCCATCTAGAGTATTTTTAATTTCATTTATTGTGTTGTTCATCATTGCTTGTTTCATCTTTAGTTCTTCTAGGTCCTTATTAAATGTTTCTTGCACTTTGTCTATTCTATTTTCAAGATTTTGGATCATCTTTACTATCATTCTGAATTCTTTTTCAGGTAGACTGCCTATTTCCTCTTCATTTGTTAGGTGTGGTGGGTTTTAATCTTGCTCCTTCATCTGCGGCGTGTTTTTCTGTCTTCTCATTTTGCTTATCTTACTGTGTTTGGGGTCTCCTTTTTGCAGGCTGCAGGTTCGTAGTTCCCGTTGTTTTTGGTGTCTGTCCCCAGTGGCTAAGGTTGGTTCAGTGGGTTGTGTATGCTTCCTGGTGGAGGGGACTAGTGCCTGTGTTCTGGTGGATGCGGCTGGATCTCGTCTTTCTGGTGGGCAGGTCCACGTCTGGTGGTGTGTTTTGGGGTGTCTGTGGACTTACTATGATTTTAGGCAGCCTCTCTGCTAATGCGTGGGATTGTGTTCCTGTCTCGCTAGTTGTTTGGCATAGGGTGTCCAGCACTGTAGCTTGCTGGTCGTTGAGTGAAGCTGGGTGCTGGTGTTGAGATGGAGATCTCTGGGAGATTTTTGCTGTTTGATATTATGTGGAGCTGGGAGGTCTCTTGTGGACCAGTGTCCTAAAGAAGAAAGAAAAAAAGAAAAAGAAAGAGAGAGAGGGAGGGAGGGAGGAAAGAAAGAAAGAAAGAAGATAAAATAAAATATAATAAAGTAAGATAAAATAAAATAAATTTATTAAAATAAAAAATAAGTATTAAGAAAAAAAAATTTTTTTTAAAGAAGAAAAAAACCAGATAGAACCCTAGGACAAATGGTGGAAGCAAAACCATACAGACAAAATCTCACACAGAAGCATACACATACACACTCACAAAAAGGAAAAGGGGAAAAAATAATAAATCTTGCTCTCAAAGTCCACGTCCTCAATTTGGGATGATTCGTTGTCTATTCATGTATTCCACAGATGCAGGGTACATCAAGTTGATTGTGGAGTTTTAATCTGCTCCTTCTGAGGCTGCTGGGAGAGATTTCCCTTTCTCTTCTTTGTTCTCACAGCTCCAGGGGCTGAGCTTTGGATTTGGCCCCGCCTCTGCATGTAGGTTGCCGGAGGGCGTCTGTTCTTCGCTCAGACAGGACGGGGTTAAAGGAGCCGCTGATTCGGGGGCTTTGGCGCACTCAGGCCGGGGGGAGGGAGGAGTACGCAGTGCGGGGCGAGCCTGCGGCGGCAGAGGCCGGCATGACGTTGCACCAGCCTGAGGTGCGCCGTGCGGTCTCCTGGGGAAGTTGTCCCTGGATCACGGGACCCTGGCAGTGGCGGGCTGCACAGGCTCCCCGGAAGGGGGCTGTGGATAGTGACCTGTGCTCGCACACAGGCTTCTTGGTGGCGGCAGCAGCAGCCTTAGCATCTCATGCCCGTCTCTGGGATCCGCGCTTCCTTTAAGCAGCGCTCTTAATCCCCTCTCCTCGCGCACCAGGAAACGAAGAGGGAAGAAAAAGTCTCTTGCCTCTTCGGCAGGTCCAGGCTTTTCCCCCAGACTCCCTCCTGGCTAGCCGTTGTGCACTAACCCCCTGCAGGCTGTGTTCACGCCGCCAACCCCATTCCTCTCCCTGCGCTCCGACCGAGGCCCAAGCCTCAGCTCCCAGCCCCGCCCCCCCCCCCCCGCCCCCACGCGCTCTCCCTGGGATCTGACCTCCGAAGCCCGAGCCTCAGCTCTCAGCCCCCACCAGCCCCGGCGGGTGAGCAGACAAGCCTCTCGGGCTGGTGAGTGCAGGTCGGCACCGATCCTCTGTGCGGGAATCTCTCCGCTCTGCCCTCCGCACCCCGGTGGCTGCGCTCTCCTCTGCGGCCCCAAAGCTCCCCGCTCCGCCACCCGCAGTCTCCGCCCGCAAAGGGGCTTCCTAGTGGGTGGAAACCTTTCCTCCTTCACGCCCCCCTCCCACTGGGGCAGGTCCCGTCCCTATCCTTTTGTCTCTGTTTATTCTTTTTTCTTTTGCCCTACCCAGGTACGTGGGGAGTTTCTTGCCTTTTGGGAGGTCTGAGGTCTTCTGCCAGCATTCAGTAGGTGTTCTGTAGGAGTTGTTCCACGTGTAGATGTATTTTTGGTGTATCTGTGGGGAGGAAGGTGATCTCCGCGTCTTACTCTTCTGCCATCTTCCCCTCGTCCCCCAAGTCATGAGTTTTGAGTAAGGAGAAAACACCTTCTCTTCTGAGAGTGCTTACTGGGTCCCAACCTTTCACTACTGAAGGCCATTCCCCACCCCCCGAGGACCCCAGGTTTTCAAAGACTATCAATTTTCAGCTTTTATTTTAGTTGAAGTATAACTGATGTGGAATGCAACATCTGGATCTTAAGTATACTGTTCAGTGAGTTTTGACTACAACTTGAAAATATTACTTCACTTCCCGCTTTTTTTACTCAAAGATATATAACATTGCCAGTCAGAATCTCGGATTATCACATCAGGTTAAGGCAGTCTTGCCAAAAGCAAGGACTCTTGACATTTTAGTTAACCTGTTTAGCCTGTGTGAGGCCCTTTGAAATACAGTGAAGAGCCCGGTGCGCCAAGGACCTCAAGTGTGTAAATAGGCTCAGTTGGTTATGGGAATAGATGGCAGGAAGACCAGGACCGTCATTGGCCTTACGCCCAACACATTCTCAAAACCGCTGACCTAGTGGTCATAATTGATTTTCAGGAGCTGAGCTGGAAGAGGTGTGATCTTATTCTTCAGAATAGAAATAATAATAGTGATTCATAACAATTTTGAAATTAAGTGTGTGTGACTGGATATTTAATGTCATAAAGGAATTCTTGTTACATTTTAGGTGTGATCACGATATGGTGATATTGTTTTAAAAATATATCTGACATTTTAGAGATATGTGCTGAAATAGTTACAAATGATAGGATATCTGGGATCTTTTGTTAAATAATTCTGTGTGATGGTGGGGGTAAAACTTCAACAAGACTGGCCTGAAATGATCCTTGTTGAAGTTGCTACATGGACGTTCATTATTCTGTTTTGTCCACTTTTATATATGTCTAAAATTTTCATAATAAAAAATTTTAGAGGGAGGAAAAAATAAAATTAAGAATATCAGTCAGGGTTTAGCTGCATATTAACAGAGATCCTTCTATGTATGTTAAGCAAAAGGGATTGAATATGGGGAATTAAGGCCTGTAAAGTTGTTAGGAAACATGGCAGACCAGGTTTTAGGCTGGGTCTCTAGGAAGAATCACCAGAACACCACCACTCAGCTGGCTTTAGGGGCAGCTCTTGTGCCTCCATCAGGAAGCCAGGAAGCCGGTTTCTCATTGTTTGAACATATGCTCCAGGAGCACGTCACTTAGGCCAAATCTGATGATCAGGAATTCATAGCCACAGTTGTTGGCTCCAGTGCTGTCTGTGGCACCTGCTAGAATTGTACCAGCAAAATGGGTGCCTGGACCCCACCACTTTGCTCTCTGATTGGTGGAATCTAAATCTTCTCTAGACCCCTAGCTGCAAAGGAATGTGGGAAATGTAGTTTGCAACTCTATCCTCTAGATGCAGAACTGGACTAGAAAGAAGTGGGAACAAATATTGAGTGGGCCAATCCATCACACAGTGTCTTAGCGATTGAAATTGTATTTTTGTTTATTTATCCCCAAAAGTAATTTTGGACAACGTTTGAGTTACAGTATATTCTTTGGTTTGGTTTTCTCTCTACAATTTTTTAATCAGCTTTTGCTAAACCAATATAACCTCTTATTACTCAAGAACATGTACCTTGCTCCCTCTGCTGTAGCTAGATTCATCTGAGTGGGTGTTCTGTGCACATTTGGCCTCCATGTCTTTGCCTGTGCTGTTTCCAGTGCAAGGAATGCCTTCCCTACCCCAGTCTAAATCCTACCTATTTTTAGACATAGTTCAAGTCCTAACTCTTTGTAAAACCTTACCTGATTTCTGCAGGTTCCAATTTCCTTCCTCCCTCCCTCCACCCACCTCCCTCCCTCCCTTCTTTCCTTCCTTACTTCCTTCTTTCCTTCCCTCCTTCCTTCCTGTATGTACATATGTATGTATGTATGTCTCTGAAATCTTTCTGGACTTATTCTTTGTTCTATTGTACAGTTTAGTCTCTATCATGCAAATGTTTTATGATATACTGTTCCTTTATATGGGAGGGTCTTCTTGTTTCAGTAGGTTGTAAGCAACGTAAGACCAACGTAAGACCAAACCAGGTTTCTCTATGTATCCTCTCCTTTGATGCATATCACCATGAAAAGTAGAGAAGAAGTTTCTGTATTTTACATTGGTACTATTAGTAAAACGTACCAGTAAGCATGGCAAGATAATAATGCTTCTTAAGAATACCTCACAAGATTTTAGTGAAGGATCAGAAATATTCTGTGCTGAGTAAACCATCATTTGTAACCTGTTGTAAATGTTGGGAGATAGTAATTGTGGTTGGGTTAACGTCAAGATCTTTACATGATGACTCCATTCGGTCTTTTAATTAACTGTATAGTCTGATAATTGCTTCAGTCTTTCAGTGAAACTATAATTCTTTGTTTCTTAAACTCAACCTGCACTTCCTGTGTCTTTGTCATTGGCCGTGTTTTCCTTCGTTGAAAAGTCTCAGCTCAGGGCGCATCTCCACCTGTCAGTCTCCTGTCCGCCAGGCAGTGTGACTGTCTAGCAGTAGTAGGTTGGATGTCAATTTATGGCACAGTCAAGCGGTTAAGGAGCATTTGCCGTAATGGTGTAGACCCGTGTTTACGGACATAACTCAGGATAGGAGACCATATCTTGCTAAGTGAAAAAATACGTTTTAAAAACTCTATGGTATGATTTCCATTTTTGTAAATGTATACATATTTTTAAAAAATTTGTACTCATTCCTTTCATTTAACAGATATGTATCGAGTGCCTACTGTGTGCCAGGCACTATATCTATGTGCGTAGAAAAATCCTTGAAGGTTATACTCCAATATATATACAGTGATCATCTCTGCTTGCTGAGATAACAGGTGACTTTTTTCTTTTTATTTGTTCTTTCTTTCATTTGCGAGCTTGTATTTTCTAATTTTTCTACAAAGGCCTGTATTATTTATTAATAAGGAACTAATGTACTTTTAAAAAACACTTCTGTTCTTCAAAATACATACTATGTAATATTACATGAAAGACAATAGACTAAAAACAGTCTAAAATTCCAATGTTAAATAAAAAAGAGAGCGCTAGAGAGGAAGAAAGAAAGGAAAAGAAAAAAAGAAGAAAAGAAGGGAGGAAGCACGTGAAACTCTAACAGTGACCCATTTTGGGTGGTGGGGTTTCTTGTACAATGTTCGCTCTAAAGATTCTACAGTGGGCATATATTAGCTTTAGAACCAGAAAATTTTTGTTTTCTTTTTCAAGGGCCAGTTCAAATGTGACTTTTTTGCGAAGCTGCCTCAGATCCTTTTCAGACTTTTAAAATCCTTTCATCACCTAGCACTCAACAAATATATAATAAATTGAATGGGTAATACTTCCTAAGTGTGGCCTCAACCTTAGTGACAGATGTCACTAACTTTGTTAATTTTCCGCATTTTTCCAGTTTTTATTTTCAAGAATAAGTTAGATTTCAGATAGGTTATTTCACAACAATAAAAATTTATCCTAAACTTAAAAAAAAGAAAAAAAGAAAAGGAGGTTACAATACAGAGAACACACAGAGAGACGAAAGACCATATGAGGACAGATCAAGAAGACAGCTATCTGTAAGCTAAGGAGAGCGGCCTCCGAAGAAATAAAACTTGCCATTACCTTAATCTTGGACTTCTGGAACTGTGAAAAAATAAATTTCTCTTTAAGCCAAAGGCAAAAATGTATCCTATGTGATTAACTTAGTACTGGCATTTGCCTAATACTGACATAATTTTAGTGGCCAGAACTTACTCTATTCTTTTTATTCGTTTCCTTTTTTGTCCATTGCACGTGTGTGTGTATGTGTAGTATGTATCTGTATTCACACACATATATTGATATGAAAGTTTACATTCAAACAGTAGACTCCAGATCTGTTGTTAGTCAACTTTTCCTCTCCTCAGAAATTTTTTGTCTAGTATCGTTTCCTACAAGTTTTTAGAGAGAAGAGGACTCCTTAGCCCAGATTGGAAACGCCATCCACTGAGTGAACTTTTTTTTTCTTTTTTTTTAAGATGTATTTTATTATTTATTTATTTTTATTTAATTTATTTCTTTGGCTGTGTCGGATCTTAGTTGCGGCACGCGGGATCTTTGTTGAGGCATGCAGGACTCTTCGTTGTGGTGTGCGGGCTCCTCTCTAGTTGTGGCGTGCAGGCTTTCTCTTCTCTAGTTGTGGGGCGGGGGTTCTAGAGCACATGGGCTCTGTAGTTCGCGGCACGTGGGCTATAGTTGAGGCACGCGAGCTCAGTAGTTGTAGCGCGCAGGCTTAATTACCCCGTGGCACATGGGGTCTTAGTCACCTGACCAGGGATCGAACCCCCGTCCCCTGCACTGTAAGGTGTATTATTTACCACTGGACCACCGGGGAAGTCCCCACTGAGTGAACTTTCTAGCAGCCCTACGGTATCACTTTAGTGGCCTCTGAGGGAGTCATACAGGCAAGAGCCAGTGTGCCAAGACTCCTAGGGGTTACCCAGCCCAGTCCATTTGTGCAGCTTTCTTCAGAGGGGGCCGAGGGGTGACAAGGGGGTTTAACATTTCTGATGCACTTTACTTTTGCAAAGTAAAGACAGGCTGTAAATGCTGCTGCTGTGTGAAGACACTAAAAGCAATTAGTCATGGCCCAGGCTCCAGCACTACCACCCTAGCTGGAAGTATCCGCCCTGAGCTGCCAGGTTAGCCTTAGACCAGGAGTTCGGGGAGCTCCAATCTCCCATCCTGGCTTCCTGCTTTCCAGGAGAGGCCCTGCCCTGCAGGAAGGGTGAGGCTCCTGGAATCTGAGGTATTAGACAGTATTTATCTTGTGGAAGCTGTAAAGGATCCTGGAACCAGGGAAGACTCGTTCTAGACAGGAGACGGTGTGAGTGGAGAGGAGTAAGGTGGGGCCTAGCTGTGGGGACCAGAAGAAGGAAATTCTTTTTTTTTTTTTTAACATCTTTATTGGAGTATCATTGCTTTACAATGCTGTGTTAGTTTCTGCTTTATAACAAAGTGAATCAGCTGTATGTATACATATGTTCCCATATCTCTTCCCCCTTGCGTCTCCCTCCCTCCCACCCTCCCTATCCCACCCCTCTAGGTGGTCACAAAGCACCGAGCTGATCTCCCTGTGCTATGCAGCTGCTTCCCACTAGCTATCTATTTTACGTTTGGTAGTGTATATATGTCCATGTCACTCTCTCGCTTTGTCCCAGATTACCCTTCCCCCTCCCCATATCCTCAAGTCCATTCTCTAGTAGGTCTGTGTCTTTATTCCTGTCTTGGCCCTAGGTTGAGAGGAAGGAAATTCTTAAAGAAGTATTCTAGGGTACTTTCTAGGGGTCCTGAAAATATTATCAGTTAGCAAAATGCTTCTTCGGATATACTAGGATGCTTAGATGGGCACATTGGAGGTTTGACTCTTAACTAGGTTACAGTTATCTTATGGAATTCAGAATCAGACAAAATATCAAAACATCATCCAAGATGGATCATCCATTGGAGGTTAAAAAAAAAATCTCGCTGACATTCTGCTTCATTCCATGATCCCCATTGCCTCACTGAGATTATCTTAGTGAGGCTCCTATACCTTTACAGGCCTTACTTTTGAAGTTGCATTTACCTCTTAAAAGGGTTCCTGGACCCATTTCCAGTGTGTGTGTATGTGTGTGTGTGTGTGTGTGCTTCCCCACACCCACAATTGTCAACTCAATTCTGACACTGTCCACCAGTAGATAGAATGAAATTCTACGGGTCAAGGGCTCCATGCCACAAGGCTGCCCTTCACTTCAGACACCAGTCATAAGCCCAGGTTATTGCCTTTGCTCCTGACTGACTGGCCATAAATCAGAGGTTTCCATGACCCCCTCCTTGAGTTCCATTAATTTGCTAGAACAGCTCACAGAACTCAGGAAAACCCATTTACTCACTAGGTTACCAATTTATTCCAAAAGATATCAGAGAATACAAATCAACAGCCAGATGTAGAGATACACAGGAGCTTCAGTCCTTGTGGAGCTTGGTGCCCAGTATGTGGTGGAGTTCTGGGTCCCTAGTATGGATATTCTTTGAACCTCCTTTTTTTGCTTTTTATGGAGGCTTCATTACATAGGCATGATTGATGAACTCATTGGCCACTAGTGATTGATTCAAGCTCTGGCCTGTCTCCTCTCCCCAGAAATCACGGGGTGGGACTAAAAATTCCAACCCTCTAATCATATGTTTGGCTCCACTGGCAACCAGCCCCCATCGGTAGGTGCTTTCCCAAAGTCACCTCATTAATATACCAAAAGACATTTATCACTCTCAACACTTAGGAAATTCTAAGGGTTTGGGGAGCTGTGAACCAGAAATGGGAACGAAGACCAAATATGTATTCTTTATAATAAAGCACAGTACCATACCTCTGTTGCCACCTGCTTTTTGATTTGTGATGATGTGTGTCTGAAACTCTTTACCCCCTTATATATCATTGGTGACCACTCAGAAATTTAAATCACAGTCATCCATGTGGGAGAAAATGTGAACTCGGCAAGTCTTTCATTTCTCTGAGGAAATACAGTTTCAGGTGGATTAACCTAAATCCCCTGAGTATGAGTTTTTAATTCCCTAACTCCCTGACATGGAGTGATTTCACTGAAGAGACTGATTTAATCTCTTGCAGTTGATGGATAAACTGTTTGCTAAATTTCAAAACACAGATAATGTCCTTTGCTGCTGGACCTCCAGATTGGGTGGTTGATCCTGCATGATGCCATTTATTGAGGATTTGCATTTTTATTAAACTGGGATTGCTAAATCAGAGGTGCTTTTGTGTCTGTTCAGTCTGTACCCAGCTATATGTGTGCCCTGTGGTCTGACGCGTTAAAATAACCTATTCACTTTCCTTTTAAACACACTGCTTCATAAAAGGGCATCTCTATTGCCTACAGATCACATGGTATTCCTATGAACGTGAGCATAAAGGTTATGGGACATGACTCATTTTATAGTTAAAAATGGAGGAAGATTTATGAAAGACAGAAAATTTACAGCCTCTATAACTTGATGTACCAAGATTGCTTTAATGCTTTGAATAGCAAAATGTAAAAGTTATGTTATCAGCAAATCATTTGTGTGTAATAGCTTATGTGTAATCAGTGGTGATATTCGTATGTTTAATTATTTTTCCTTGTGTTGTATTTTAGGGGTGTGAACCTTATATTTTTGCTGCTATCCATTTGTAAATACACTCAGAAAAGGAGGATTTGGACGACAGGTACTTTCTAAACATGATGCATTTCAAAAGTGGACTCGAATTAACTGAATTGCAAAACATGACAGTGCCCGAAGATGATAACATTAGCAATGATTCCAATGATTTCACCGAGGTGGAAAATGGTCAGATAAATAGGTAAGTATTTTTCCACGAACAGTTTCTCTCCAATGAAAGAAATATCTCTAAAATATCATTCTGGTTTTCAGCTATTCTCTTGAATTATTCATTACTAAAGTTTTGCTCCATTTGAAGATGTAATTTGAATTTCATATGTGACATCTGTTGGGCATCGTCTGCAATAGCAGATGAAGCAAATAGGAAAGTAATTTATTCATCCTTTCAAATCTTTCAATTGAGTCTAATAAAAATGTATAAATACATTGGACCCCAACCAGCCCTAACTTTTCAAAAGCTCTGTGTTTATGAATCAGACCAACTGTTGGAATTTCACTGCGTGCCATATCTGAATGTGTACTACAGTCATCTGGCCTTGCCCACATGTTAATCAAGGAATGGTCAAAGTCGCATTTGTCAATGTTCCCATGTTAAAATGACAAATACGTTACTACAAGCATCGTTTGTAATATGGCTTTTAAGTAATAATAACACAGAGCCAAATGGCTCTATGAGAAATAGTAGATGAAACAGTACATGAAACGGAGAAATAGTACATGAAAGAGAAAGAAAAGAAGAGATACAGTGAGTGAGGGGAGGTAGGGGGCGGGTAGGAAGAATGCTGGCCTGGCAGCTCTCACCCTTAACTGTGACCTCAGCAAGTCCTTCCAACCCTTGGGTCCTGTGTTTCTTAAGTTACAAGAGTAGACCAAATATCTTTTTTTTTTTTTTAATGATTTGGGGCATTCTCTGACCTTCTGATTTTATTTTTTAATTATTTTTAAAAATGTATTTTATTGAAATATAGTTGACTTACATTGTCGTGTTATTTTCTGGTGTACAGCAAAGTGATTCAGTTATATATATATTCTTTCCCATTATGGTTTATCACAGGATATTGAATATAGTTCCCTGTGCTATACAGTAGGACCTTGTTGTTTATCCATTCTATATATAATAGTTTGCATCTGCTAACCCCAAACTCTCAATCCATCCCTCCCACACCCCCTTCCCACTGGCAACCACAAGTCTGTTCTCTGTGTCTGTGAGTCTGTTTCTGTGTCGTAGATAAGTTCACTCGTGTCATATTTTAGATTCCACATGTAAGTGATATCATATGGAATTTATCTTTCTCTTTCTGACTTACTTCACTTAGTGTGATAGTCTCTCTAGGTCCATCCATGTTGCTGCAAATTCTGACCTTGTGATTTTACAGCCAGCTTATATGGATCCCTTAGAAGGAAGCTTTCCAGCTTGGGAGTTAGTGGTGAGGTTTGTTTGAAGCCTGAGGCCTCCTAAAAAGCTGGGAGGAGAGAGTGGAATATACGGGGACTACTTACTAGAACACCAGCCATGCTACACTTGCGGGAGCGGAGTCAAAAGGAAATTGGGAGGAAGATGAAAACATTATGTCAGCTAACCAGGCATCTTCACAGAAATCATTTCTGATAACTGCTCTGCATTCTGATACAATGTGTAATTGACTGGGCTGCCATCATTTACAGACACTCAGAAGTTTCAGCCCTGCCCCTCCTCCTTGTAACTCTTCCTTACATATTTTCAGAGGTTAAGTCTCCAAATACTTCCTCATTGCCATCCAAGTATCATTCACCATGTGATATTTCTTATTGTTGAACTCAAGTTTGCTTCTTTCACCTTTTCTGTGTAATTTCTTTTTTATTTTTATTTTTTGCGGTACACGGGCCTCTCACTGTTGTGGCCTCTCCCGTTGCGGAGCACAGGCTCTGGACGCGCAGGCTTAGCGGCCATGGCTCACGGGCCCAGCCGCTCCGCGACATGTGGGATCTTCCCGGACTGGGGCACGAACCCGCGTCCCCTGCATCGGCAGGCGGCCTCTCAACCACCTTTCTGTGTAATTATTAAGAATAACTACCATTTCTTGAGTGCCAGGTGTGATTACATATATTACCACTTATCCTTACAACATCATTCAATGTATTCTTTTGCAAATAAGGAAAATTTAAAAATTCAGTGTACCATAAGAAAATGGAGGCTTAGAGAAATAAAATAACTTGCACACACAGGTCTGTCTGAAATCCCTGTCTTTCCTCTCTGTCCTGCTGCCTCTGATTAAAATGCTCGGGCGTGAATGAAAAAGATAGTCTCTACTATCAATTAAACTCTGCTGAACTCTACCAGTGCTATTTTCTGCTCTGGGCCCCTGGGGTGTTCTGTAGTCACTGCTGACCTGCAGTTAACAGTGGTGGATGGGATTCCAGCTATTTCACAATTAGCACATTTTAGGTTTCTAACAAAGCTTCATTCCCAAAGCAGTGTAAACCTTGAGGACCTTAAAATGAGAGTCTTTTATAATATTCAGCTTAGGATCTGAACTTGATATTTAAAAGTTTTACTAAGAAAAAGTATTGTTTGGGAGGTGATAACCTCTTGAGGTAGGGGGAGTCACCCCTTCTCGGCCCTTGGGGTGCCTGCCAGGGGAGCTCACTTCCCCAGAGACCATGACTAAGACATGGGCTGTACAGCCTCCTGTTTTTTGGAATTTGGTTCCACTGTCGCAAGTGTGGTGTGATGCATTTATTGCTTTATCTCCCCTCTTTCATTGACATGGTTTATGAATTTTGCTTCATTTCTGGCTCTAGAACAATGAAAATTAAAAACGACATATTACAGCATGAAGCCAAAAAGGTAAATAAAAATCAAAAAAGACACCCCCCACCCCCCCCAAACCCGTGATTTCTGCAAAGCTACACCTAATACTTCTGACTCTTCTGTTAGCTTTTTCACATTGGTGGGAGGAAGGTAGGCCCAATTACATGAATCTAGGAAAACCATCTCCCAAAACAGTGAACTTCTAGGTAACAGTGCCTTTTTTAGGAAGCTAGAGAAAATGTTGAAAACAAATGTTGACTTCTTATTAGCTGACGTGTAACTGATAGCTTTGCCTGGAAACTCCCTACTAGGATACCTTAAGAATCATTTTATTAAGTTTAGTTAAAAATAGAGTAGAGGGGCTTCCCTGGTGGCGCAGTGGTTGAGAGTCCGCCTGCCGATGCAGGGGACACGGGTTCGTGCCCCGGTCCGGGAAGATCCTACATGCCGCGGAAAGGCTGGGCCCGTGAGCCATGGCCGCTGAGCCTGCGCTTCCGGAGCCTGTGCTCCGCAACAGGAGAGGCCACAACAGTGAGAGGCCCGCGTACCGCCAAAAAAAAAAACAGAGTAGAGCCATTTGGGCATTAGGACACCTGCTCTTATTCCAGTTCAGTTGTTTTATTTCATGCCCTAATTTGTGGGTTGTAGTCATAGAAACCTATACCTGGAACAGCAGAGCCTTTTTTTTTTTTTTTTTTTTAACATCTTTGTTGGAGTATAATTGCTTTACAAACCAAAGCCTTTTGAAATGTCCACTGGACCAGTACTGCTGACATTTTAATGTGCATGTGAAACACCTGGAAACCTTGTTAACATGCAGATTCTGATTCAGTAGCTCTGGTACTGGGCCTGAGATTCTAATTTCTCACAAGCTTCCAGGTGATGCCCTTACAGCTGGTCCATGGACCACATGTTGAGTAATGAGCTCTAGACATTCCTCTAGATGTAAGCTTCTTGAGAGAAGGACCCATCTTAATCATTTTTATATCTCTTGTACCTTGTAATGATATGGTAATAGTGCCTGGAGCAGGGCAGACATTACAAAGTATTTGTTAAATGAAAGAAAGAGACAGAGACAGACAGAGAGAGCAGTTAAGTGCATGGTTTGGATTTCAACTTATATTGAATCCTGGCTCCATCCATAGGTATTGTGTGATCTTGTACTTTAAGCCTTAGTTCCAGCCCTGTAACACAGGGATAAAAATAATACCTGACCTCCTGGGATTGTTGGGGAATATTAAATGCAATGCTGTTTGTAGGTTAAGGACTCAGGCTGTACCATCAGCCCGCTTAGGTTCAAATCATGGCTCAGCAGTTTAGTTATAATGTAACTTTGGTCAAGTTACTTAATTTCTCCAAAATGGAGCTAAAACTAGTACTAACCACATGCAATTATTGTGAAAAAAGGTGAGAAAACTCATGTAAAGCACTTGACACGGTGTCTGGCAAGAGTAAGTCTTTTAGTACGAGGCAAGTCTCTAACAGTAAAAGTGCAACCCTCTTTCTTTGGCAAGCACTTCTTTCTTCTCCACCCAAGGACTAATAATACTGTTTTAGGTTTGGGATGATTTTTGGTTATTGTCGTTGAAATATTAATAGATTATCCTAGCTGTAGCCAGGCAAATATTCACATATTTTAATATCTGTCTACTGTTGCTCTAATCTCCATGAATAGTTATTGTCATTATGACCCAGGAAGCTTCTAACAAAATTTGAGAGTCTTTCATTAAGACATTTCTTAATGAGGAACTCTTGTCACTACACCTTACATCAGACTTTTTTTCCCTTGGTCCCTGTATGTCTTCCGGAGTCCATGAACTACATTTGTATCATTGGGAGGACCCTTGAAAGGTTACCCCTTCTCTTCTTCTAATGTCTTTTCTATACCTTAGGGAAGAAAATTCCCATATTCAGTTTTCATTTCAGAAAATTCTTCCCTGGCTTTAATTGCTCCTGCTACAACGAAAATCTGTTTTCTCCTATTTTGGGTAGAGCTTATCCACCAGATAAGGCTTTTCTCACCTCTCAGTCTTATGCCTTTAAATGCCTATTTCTTTAATTCTTTCATGTTTTCCGGTCTCTCAGTTACATGCTTCTTTCCTCCTTTTCTCTTTTCCTTTTTTATAGACTGTTAGTGTTTCAGGGAAAGAGGTTGGA